TGTCTATTTAGGTGTCTCAAAAACTGCATTTGTCGTTTCCTGATTATTTTCAACATTGAGCGTCCCACGTGGGCTTCATCAAGCACTACCTCATTTGATTTCTTTTCCTTCCACGATACTCTTAGCAGTCTCCTAAGAAACCACATTTCTGTTTCTTATATTTTATTTTCATTGTCTTTAGTGATTGTCCAGCATTCACAGCCATATAGAAGAGTTGACCATACATAGCATTTCAGAACTTTCATTTTGGTGTTCATTGAGATGTTTCCATTTTTCAGGATTGGGCTCATTTTATTGAAACGAGCCTTAGCCATTGTATTTCTCCGTTTTATTTCTGTGGAACATTTGGCATCAGATGTTATCATATATCCTAGATATTTAAACTTTTGGTCTTGTTTGATCTTTTCACCTTTGCTAATGAAATTTCAATTAGAGTTGATCAGGGCGTGAAATTCATACGTTTACTTTTACTTATTTGCACAGTGTTGCTATTTTGTACATGTGAAAATGGTGAAATAGTACCGCACCGGTTTAACGCCCACACCCCACCCCCTCCTATAAACACTGATAGGTTATTCAAGAGGCGGGACCTCTGAGTTAACATCCATCTCCGAGAGGACCGGACCAAATAGGAAATTCGTGTAAAGTGTCTTTCCCAAGGACACAACGTCGGACTGAGCTGAGGCTCGAACCCCCGGACCCACAATCTATCTACCTATCTATCTATCTATCTATCTATATGTACATATATATATATATGTATATATATATATATATATATGTGTGTGTGTGTGTGTGTGTGTGTGTGTGTGTGTGTGTGTGTGTGTGTGTGTGTGTGTGTGTGTGTGTGTGTGTGTGTGTGTGTGTGTGTGTGTATTATATCTAGCAGACGATTATGTCCAGCATTCAACTAACACAGTCCATGATCAAAACGTGTTGCAAGTACCGTAAAACTCTTACTAAAACTACATTTACCATTTGTTTGTTCTGTCTCTTTGTTCCTCTCATCTGTGGCCAGTCCTTGTAGGCCCGCTACTACTCTCTCACTCTGTATGTTTCGTCCTCTCCCTTAACGATCTGTTTGTTCTTCTCATCTATGGACAGTCCAAGTACTGTGAGTGGTTGGCAGGTGCTCTGATGTGGTTTGCTCCTTTTTTTCCTATAAAAATCTATTTCTTCTTTTTCTCCCCTCCTTCTGTTTTGTGTGTTACCCTTTTGTAACACTTCTAATCTTCGGCACTTATGTGACCTTATGCAGTTGCGAGTGCTGTAAGACCTCTACTAAAACTAAAACTGACTTTGGACTGCTGAGTTTTTGCCTTTCAAATATTAAACCCTAAACTAGATCCTGTTGTTTTTCTTCCTTAATTGTGAATATTTTAAGCCACCACACCAAACACCCACCCTGTTGAATCGTTGATCTAGCTGGACAACAGTGGTTGTTTTTTGGTTGTTGTTGTTGTTGTGTTTTGTTTTGTTTTTTTTGTTGTTGTTTTTTTTTTTGGGGGGGGGGGGGGGTAGTAAGTGTTTAACGGCACTTGCAACACAATACTGTCATATAAGTGCCGAAGATTAGAGGTATTACGAGAGAGTAACGAACACAAAAAAGAAGGAGGGGAGATAAAGATGACAGATGTTTGATAGGAAAGAAGAAGCAAACCACACCAGAGCACCCGCCAACCACCCACGGCAACAGTTTGAGAGAAGCAGCGTCAGGTTTTGGTGTAAGTTACAAGGTACTCCGGAGATATTATGTGAAGGAAAGTCAAAAAGACCTCTGGATCTTTACACAGTTGTAGTTTTTGTTTTGTCAGATCAACACTACAGATTCTTCCAGATGCCACTGAGCTAATGTTGAAACATTATATAATTATCATCAAGGATTCAAGTATCTATCATGGTATCCAAGTTGGTGAAGAAGATACAAGTACAAGATTAAAAGCAAAAATCCGGTTGCTGAAGACATAGCAAATGAGTGAAAGAGAGAGAGAGAGAGAGAGAGAGAGAGAGAGAGAGAGAGAGA